CGGGTGGCAAGCGGCAGCAGTAAAACATTCGATTCGTTCGTAATTCATATCATTAGCATAATATACTATGAATTTTCTACGTTATATATTGAATCGAAATTGCGCGAAAGAGAAAAAAAAGTACAAGCCTATGAATAGACATTTCCATCCTTTACTAAAAAAAAAGAAATTAAAAATATCTCTTAATTTTATTTCTGTTTCTTCGGGCAAGTCTACATATATGACCAATATGATTAATTGATTCCATCTTTATATATTTATCATTTTGTGCTATTAATTAAAGCCGTAGACAATATTCAGAAATCAAAGTTGCGTGCTGGAATGGCCATGCGCAGAAACGAATGCGCACTGATTCGGTCGCCATGTTGGCGCGTGCTGTTCGTCACTGCGACGTCACTGTTACGTCATACGCGTCATACGGCCGCCATGTTGGCGCGTGAATCGGAGTCATACGCAGTTACACGGATCGTCGTACGTCCGCATTTTTCGCATTTTTTAACCATTTTTAAACGAATATCGCGAGTGAACGAGCGTCGAGAGTGTCCAAGGATAATCGCGCGACTTTCATAGTGTGTTGATGGAAACGCGCGACAGCGATTTTTGACGATATTCAGTGATGGCGTCATCGCGAAGATGGAGCAAAGTTGCGTCGCGTTATTCGCGCCCTTGATGATGATTATCGGATGCGAGCGAGTATCGGGAGTGCCGCATAAAGTGTCGCGCATTCGCGTTGATGATATCGTGTTAATTTGTGTGCATCAAGATCGGAATGGGACGTCCCGAGGCGAGCGAACTGTCCCGTGGAGGAGCGGCTTGTGGAACAGCCGCCTGAGTAGATTTGATTTATCATATTTGCGTGACAATTCGTGCTCATTCGACGCTTATACAGCATCGCGATGTCCCGAATTACATTCGGACAAATCGGCGCCGCATCATAATTCGATTCGGTGCAATTCAAATAAGTCGATCGCGTGAAGATGATTATGCTAGAAGCGTTTTGAATTTTGTATACGCGCGCGCAGTGCTGCACAGACAGCCTATCTCGTAGGGTTGCCAACTGTTGCCAAACGATAAATTTGTTTGATCTAACCTAACCTAACCTCTCAGTGTCTTTGGATATCGAATGTAAACACAAGCGTATGCTGCCTGGATTGTATCATGCTTTAAAAAATAATATTTAATTATTTCATTAGTGTATTACATTTTATTACGTAATATATTAATCGTATTAAATGTGCGACATACAGTTTTACACATTTTAATGAGTAGCATATAATATAATTGGTTAGGTTAGATTAAATTAAAACAAGCTGCTGTGATTCATTTAACGTAATAGGATTAATTTGACGAATGTGCAGCTATTGAAGTTACATGATATTTGTGGTCACATTTTTAAAGTAATCATGAGTGTTTTATCACATCTCGATTACATGAAATTAAAATATAAAATATTTATGTATTCCACATTAACGTTATTCATTACAAGTACTATATTACTACATTACAAGTACTTTTCTTATATCTCAATCATATTCAACCATTTATTTCATCGATGAAGCTTTTCATATATCGCAGACAATATGATACTGCGTGTGGAATTTTACACAGGTAATACATGGCACAAAAATAATTTGCTCTCAAGTATTGTGTGCATTTCTCAAAAATAAATCAAATTAAATTATTTTCAGAATCCAAACATCGCTACATTGCCAGGATTGTATCTTATTATAACTGCGATATTATCACCTTTTAATATGTGTGCGCAGTATTACATACATAAAATATATAAATTTATTTAAAACGTACTGAAATCTTTATCTTATTTATAATATTCGTGATATTATAAAAGAAAATTGCAACTCTAATGAAACAGAGCGGTGGAATAATTGGTTGATTGGTTAATTGCAGGTAATTATGTTATACTTAAATATCGTAAGAAAGAGAAAATAAAATAAAAGTTGAATACTGAATGTGCTCTAAAGTAAATCTCATCTAAATAAATAAATGCATAAATGTGCGCCCCACATTCCTCATGAAAAAAATACATAATATTTATCTTTATGTATTATTATTTTTAGATTTGTTTTTTATTCTTTTAAATTCTCTAGATACACTTTTCATTTCTCCTCTCTTTCTTTTCAACTACTAAATATAGATCTATCATTTTTAATATAGATCTGTCATTTTTAGTGTACATTATTGCAGTAAGTGGAATAAAGAGCAAATCTTTTGGCACAGGAAAAAATGTACAGGAAAGTCAGTTTTATCTGATGCGTTTTTTTCAATAGAAATATGTAAAAAAATCTGAAAAAATTCATATGTCTTTTTAAATCTTATTCTTTCTAAATAAAAATTAGAATAATAAATTTGCAAAATAATTTGCTTTAATATATTTTTATTGCAAATATATGAAGCAAAGTGCTCAAGGTGCATCACTATGAAAACATCGATAGAATAAAAAATAGATCGTATACGAAAAAATTATAAAAAATAGATCGTACGAAAACATTAAAATCTTTACACTACATATTTGATATAGCATATTTGATATATTGATTTGTTTCATGATATATTGCAATAATTAAAGTATGATTACTGATATAATTTGCCATGAGACTACAGAGAAAGTCAGCTTTAATTCTTTATTTTGTTCAATATTTTTAATATAATAATTAAATTAAAGTTCTATGAAAGTATGCTTGAAATACTAAATAAAAAAGATTGTTTCTTATGTACAACCTTATAAAGTTTAAGTAAACAAAAAATCATTATTCATAATATACATATATAAATTGATAATTAAATAAAACAATAAATTAATTATAATCGACACAATCCACGTTTTTTTTAGCTTTATGTCTAACATATATATATATATATATATATATATATATATATATATATATATTTTTTTATAAATAAAAAATATTTCTTTCTAATATAATTAAATAAAAAGTATAATATGCCTTTAAATACTTTATATTTACACCTATTGCAATAAATCAATAAAGAATGCTTTTACATTCCTCCTTGTACTGTGGCATACATATCCTTTATGCCAATTATCTCACAACATGCTTTTATCACATGATGACAAACAAGCCCATTATCATTCATGAATTTTCTTTACAAATATTTTTATATTCTCAAACTGTGTAAAGAAATCATGTAACAAAAACTGAAAAATACAAAGTGATATTAAAAGAGAAGAAATAAATTTTATATTATATAGTATTGACAAGTATTTTCTTACCAGTATGTTCCTTATATGTTGGAATATACATTAATCTTTGACCAGCCCTATTTTTAATCGTCTTTAGGAATGCTTTGGCTTTTGATAACGCAAATCCAGCCAATCCATTTCCATTCCCAGTTACTATAAATGAATTGATTCTAGTTTTACGTGCTAAATTACTGGTCATACAAGTTATCATTTTGTTTTCAAAATCCAGGTTTCAAAACTTTCAAATATATCTGCAGAAAACAAAGATATTAATTATATAAGATTAATTATATAAGATTCTAATATTTAGAACTGAAACATCAAAAAAAAAAAATTGAAAATAGACATTGTATCACATGATTTTTGTATGTGTGTAATTTAACCATTATAATCCAATAATAGCATAAATATTAACCTTTTCCAATAAGATCTGATTTAATGCTTCTGCCATTCATTGTAACACTCCTCCAACCACATTCCAATGGTGATAATTTTATTTACATTGGTCTGGTCTGACTTTGTGGTAATTCCATAAGTTTTTGCTTTTTTTCAAGATTTACAAGCAGTTTTAGCTGTTGAATTAATTCTTTTCCTCTAAACACAGAAGTGTTCAGACCAGGAAATTGTATCGGAATTTTTCCCATGCCAATAATTTGCTCCTTATTTAGTAGCTCTCTCTTTTCACTACTCTTCTTGTGCTCTATCTCTGCGTCTTCCTGCATTACTGATACTTGTCACACCCTTTCATAATTCATCTTCAGGTTCTATAGAACAAAAGCACAGTGAAATACAAATTATTTTCTACTGTAAACATAAACTATTATCAAAATGCTATATCCATAAAAGGATTTCTATTTACCATAAAAGGACTTCTACTTACTATTCGCAAAAAATATAGAGTTTCTCACATTATTTAATAAAGTGACTATTTTTAATAAATGTGAATGACTGACAATCACTAAATTAAACAATATTAAACAATAATATACCTGAAAAAAATTTCATAATTTTATTAGAATTAAATTGATAAATTAATTTTAAATACACATTATATGTTAATTACATATAATGATTTAGAGACAATGATATATTTCATTTGCGTTACCATTGTTTACAGATTGAACATTTTTTATCAAATTATTTACAACTCTAAATATGTAGCATACGACAAGCCATTTTTAAAATCTATAAAACAAACAACAAAGTTGTACATAGTTTTCACTCTTTTTTGTCATAGTCTGCTTTTAGGCGATCTTAAAGTCACTAGATTAACAAAGTACCGCAATTTTGATCTCAATAAGATAAGATGGAGCAAAAATGGCGTCCGATACCAACAGGACAAATCAGGATCAAGGTTAGAAAAATTGCACTTAGTTTAGATAGCTACACAAAGTGTGCACTATCGGACGCCATTTTTGCTCCATCTTATTGAGATCAAAATTGCAGTACTTTGGGCTTGTTCTTTTTATCTGCACTGCTGCACTAGTGCAATTAGTTAGAGTGAAAGAAAGTATGTTTATCTTTTTTCAACTTATTGCACTAGTGTAGCAGTGCAGCTAAAAAGAACAGACCCTTTGTTAATCTAGTGACTTTATGTGGAGGAGATTGACGACAGATGTCGTTCCAAGGTAGGACAAAACGACGAATCTGATTGGCTACGCCACATCGCCAATCAGATACTTTTTTTCTCTTTATTTCCAGGATCCCCTAGCATGTTCGAATACGTTGGCATCCCTGCGTGGCGCGACTGTAGCGCCGATCACGTTCGCGAAGGAAACTTTCCTAGCTCTTTGTACAAATGGCGGCTTACGGTGAAACACGCTGTACCGTATAACCCGTGCGGCTCATCCGGCCCGTTTCCTTCGTCGTGGAAGTAAAAAGTTGAGGCGCGGCCGATATCCGTTAAACCGACCGGACCGAGAGGACGCGACAGGCGTCGAGCGCGCGATAAATTGATCGATAAATCGTGCCGATAAGAATAGTATATAAATAATAATGGGCAACGTGATGGCATCCGCGCCTCTTCCACCTCCGCCGCCTTACAATCCGCCACCGGGTCCTGGACTGATGCCGAATTTAGGGAAACAGGACCCGTCGTCCGCGGACGCGTACGCGCCCGCCGAGACGACCACTCGGATCGAGAACCCGGGCACCATCGAGGATCTGCACAAGAAGTGTAAAGGTATCTCGTCCAAGCACGTGTCACGATCCTCTATCGCTTCCCGCTATCTCTTCGGGTAGACTTGTGTTTTTTCACTTTATCACAGAAAACTTTTCGCGACTCTTTCCGGAACTTTCTAAATTATTCCTCGAGGAATGATCCTCCTTGTTTGGACAGCTCGTCCATCATTGGATTAGAGTGCAAAAGGAATATATATTATAATTGGATATCCTCATGTTTTAGTTATATAGATTTCTTTCATATCCCATTTATCTTTTTCTCTTGTACCAATGTTGCTGCTCTACACATTATAATTGGATATCCTCATGTTTTAATTACATAGATTTCTTTCATATCCCATTGTTTATCTTTTCTCTTGTACCAATGTTGCTGCTCTACACATTTACACAATCGTACAATAACGAATTGAAAAGTGAAGCGATCGAGAAGAAATGACAAACGGAAAATCAAAAAATATAACATTCACATTGATTAGACGATATGTTTCGACAAATTTATTATTTCAATGCGATATAAGTGTAAAAAGATGCAATTTCTCTCAAATTATTTCGTCATTGTACTTGCTGACTGATTATTTTGCCATTTTGTTACGCTATACGTTATATGTACATGTATTATAAACAACTTAACAATTGACTACATTTATATATCTTTTACAGATATATTTCCTATAAATTTTGAGGGAGCAAAATTGGTTGTTAATAAAGGATTGAGCAACCATTTCCATATTTCACATACCATTAACATGAGTTCTGTAATACAGTCTGGCTATAGGTAAATTAACATAGCTAGCTCTATATGTGTGCGTGTGTGCATGCGCATATACACATATGAAACGTTACCTCGATAATTTTTACAATATATATTCATTGTGTCATCCATTTTTCAGATTTGGTGCAACTTATGTTGGTACAAAACAAATTTCACCTACAGAAGCATATCCTGTATTGTTGGGTGATATCGATCCAAGTGGAAATCTTAATGCCAATATTCTTCATCAGCTTGGTTCAAGACTTAAAGGAAAATTGGCGGCGCAAGTACAGAGAAATAAATTCACCGCTATACAAATGACAGCTGATTATCGAGGTGATGCATATACTTGCTCCCTAACGTTAGGCAATCCAGATATCCTTAATTGTTCCGGTAAGTTGATAAATTACTAAGTATCGGTGAGTATATGTATCATTTATATAAAAAATGTCATCAATTTGTTTTCAGGTGTACTTGTTTTACATTATTTACAAAGTTTGACACCATCGCTTGCATTGGGTGGTGAACTTGCGTATCAACGTGGACCTGGTTTGCCAGGTGGACAAATTGCATTATTGTCCGCAGCAGGAAGATATACACACGGCGACTCCACATTTAGCGGTAGTATTAGTAAGTAATGTTCCGGCTTCTCTGGTAACACATTTTTAAAGTCTCTGCATTTTGTAAACAATTTTCTTTTAAGGTCCATCCGCTTGCCATCTCTGTTTTCACCAACGTGCTAGTCAACAATTACAAGTGGGAGTGGAATTAGAAATCAATGCGCGGATGCAAGAGTCGACGGCAACAATTGCCTATCAAGTCGATTTACCTAAAGCAGATTTAGTATTTAAAGGTGTGTTTGTGCTCGTAATTATTTTACTATTTTAACTTTATTGAGCATAATCTTATCCTATTCTCTATTTAATTAATGATGCGCAGGTAGCGTAGATACGACTTGGACGGTAGGAGCAGTTCTAGAAAAGAGACTACAACCGTTACCATTCTCGTTCGCGCTTAGTGGTGTAATCAATCATAGCAAGCAGCAGTTTAGACTGGGTTGCGGCCTAATCATCGGTTAAGAACGACGCTCGATTTGCGAGATGCAGATCCGAAGTAACTCCGCTTTCCGTACAGTCGGACAGTCGTGCAATCTTAAGATCCAAGATGCTGTATCGATTCCTTTCATTCAGAACATCTGGCATGTCGTGTTTCATTAAAACTATGACTCATGTTAAGCGATCGTGTTAATTTGATTAAAAGATCTATACACATTTTTGAATTTCTCGTTTTAATACATTGTCCAAGTTTTTTTTTTTTTTTTCTATCTATAACAATTTTTTAACATTGAGATATTGGTAATATAGATAAAAAAATTAAAATGGAAGGTAATGCATAGTAAATATGTTATTTCTTTTATAAAAATGAGATCCATAATAAGAGATTCAGATATATATTTCATATATATCTTATTTAATAAACGACACACGAAAAAAAATTTTTTTTCTCTTTTACATACATTTGTGTATTGACAATATTCTGAGCAATTACTAAATTTATTGATATATATTTAATCAATCTCTATTGCATATTAAAACTAGTAATCAAATTGCGAAAACTACACGAGTAAAAGGTATATATTTTTTACCAAAGTATTGAAACAAAGATATCGAGTAACGATTGGTTGGAAAAAAAATTTTCGTTATATTTATTACACTGAACCAATATTATTATATATTGTTGTGAACACTTCATAATCGAAAATATTCAATATAATTACAATACATGCAATATAATTACTCCCCAAACTCACTGAAACTCACATGAAATGTTATTTCACAAACATTGATCAATTTCCAAGATTTTTTTCACTAATGTAACACAAATAGATAAAGTATACACATATTTATGAATCCCACTATTTAACTTTAGCATTTATTCAAATAGTAATTTTTTTTACGTCACAATGCATTTATTAAACGTAAAAGCAATTCGTTGCATTTTGTATTTTATTTGCATAAATTAATGAATGTGCGTGTTTATTAACTTTATAGGAATTTCCATATTGGCAATCTGCAACTCATAAAATGATGAAAGGTTCGTGAATATTTGTGTGTATTCATATATTCAATCCGTCGAAAAAGTAATTGTAAATAACTCACAAAAATTATGACAAAATATGTGCCACCCGATCGATGTAATATAATAATTGTACTGTTATGGGGCAATGTTTATTTTGTGTCTTGGTGATTTGATTCACACATAATTATCGCTCACAAACGGATTGCTCATGATTATATGCTATAAATGGACGAACATGCGCAACATTCTTAAGAAATATTCATAAGCCGAAATCTCCTGCAATGTATACGTACTCGTGGATTGAGGCACATATTGTATTTTTTCTAGCAAGATCCACCATCAAAGTTTGTTGCAATAGATATTGTCACTTCGGTTAATTACTTCTGACGTAAAATCTCATGGATAGGAGCAATAGAAAAAGAAGGCGACAATCCAGCTTAAAGTTGTAATAGCACGCGCGGAGAGACTTACGTCGTTTTGTACTCTTTAATCTGCTTGTACATAATTTTATTGTTAAGTACGACAGAATAAAGTTGTATATTGTTGAACAAACCCAGCATGTGTGCAGAAAAGGAATTTGTATATATTCGTTACTTTCTATATTATAAAAAATGAATATATTTTTAGATTAGTGTATAAACATATATATATATATATATATATATCGTACTTCTGGTTGGATAAATCGGGTTCCTGAGCGCGCAATTGTGAGTTTACTTCTCGAAAAAAAACAATGAGCAATTAGCGCGGGGATCATTAAAAGTTCGAGGTGAGTCTCGCGTATGATGGTGTGTGATTGTAAAGCTGTCAAACTCGCAAATATATCGAGGTTAGCTCGCAAAAGTCACAATGCTTTTAATTCTTGCCAAACGTTAAAAAAAATTATATATATTAATACTAGTCGATATTTTTTCTTTAAAGGCAAAGATTTTTTTGAGATATATTATTTTACTTATAATATATAGAGAAAAAAAGAATATCTCCTGCAATGATAAATTTATGAAAAGATAAGCTAAAATAATTTTTATTATAATTATTTTTTTACATGTCTTGGAGTTTACTTAATTTTTGCTCGATGAAACTTGGAATTTTCAAAGAAATTTCATTGTACATACGTATGAAAAATAATATTCATGCAGGAATAATCGAAACTTTACTATTTCTTACAACGCATCGTCTCATTGTTTCTTAACTACTGAAAAGTTATTTTGCTTGCAGTTCTTTGAAAGTTTAAATTTTCGATTAGCAGAAAAATTTAATCACATTTAGTTTTATATCGAACAGCAATATTATTGTATCATCTATTTTTGTATGTACGAATTTTTATTTATATAGACCAGGAAGCACATTTACAAGAGTATTTAACATATTTTTCAAATCGTTACCTCTTGATAGATATTTACACTTTCTACGCGGTACATTATGTTAATAAAATAACAAAATGAGTATATATATATATATATATATATATATATATATATATATATATATGTAAAAAATATAAAGTTTATCGAGTAATTGTAATTAACTGATAAAATCAAGTTACAAAGTGTTGTTAAGTGAATTTTTTTCTCTCTAATGACTAAGCATACGACGAGAAATTAGTTTGAAATTGAATGTAGCGTTTATGTATGAAGGATTACGATCGCTCGAGGTGATTTGAATGCTTTACTATGCACCGGGCATTGTGTGAACTCGTTTATAAAATAAATATAGCACAGTAGAGAGATGCACGGTTTCGATAAATTAAATTTTTCGCGATATGTATAAAAAAAGGAGTCCTTTACAGAAACAACAATTGTTGAAAATGAAGCATGTAAAGTATCTAGGTAAAAAATAAATCTCGATTAAATCGCGCTCGCATATACACAGCACGTGTGCCAGTAATAATCAATTGGATGAATGAATGAATGAATGAATGAATGATCGATCGATCGATTGTAGAAACGGACGAATGAATGGACAAGCTTGTCCTTGACAGCCGAGTATCTGTAACCTGGCACTCTCGAAACAGTCGCTCAGCCGCTTGCTTATATATGTGCCTCAGCTTCGCCGATCCTGTAAACAATCTTTCTTTTTTTGCCATTATGTACCACAGGTCCTCATTATGCACTTATTCCCTTGGTTTTAACTATATTAGTTTCAAAGTAAGATTATAGGGAGCCAGAAAAAAAATTGCACAATTCTTCTGTTTCTTATTTATGTTTGATAAAAGATGGATAAAAAATTATACGAATTATATTATATTAAGTTTATAACGATCATATAGATTACACGACAATGTAAATATTTTCCAACATCGTGTATTTGATATCAGTCGCACTATATACATATATACGCATTTTGTGCAAATTTCCAATATATTCTTAAATCAATTTATTTCGAACGGCGTATATTAAGATGCATGTATATTGCATGTTTACAAAAATATCTTTTTTGGAAGGAGTTATCGATCGATAAATATTATCCTTTTCTCATGTATGTTTTTCAGTTGTAATTAACTTAAGGATTCGAATTACAAAAGTTAAAAATTGCATAGAATTGTAAAAGCTAGAAATTTGCATGTAGCGTGACAAAAAAAAACTCGTAAATATCTAAATAAATAACACGTCAATTTTAACATATATCGGCGTATTTAGATATTTATGCATCGTAACTCACAATCAGACTTTTTTACTTGATAAGAAATAAAAATTTAAAAAGTCAATCAAAGCGTACATACAACCTTTAATTAATCGATAAAGATTAAAAGTTAAAATTTATAAGACTTTTTTTTTAACCAATAGTCACGATGCACGAAATCTATAGATACGATGCGAATATATGCATGTACATAAATTGATGCAACGTCACGGCATCATAACGTCGAATGTATATCTGTGAAATTGGCAGTTTTACATTAGCGCATCTACACATCGTATGAACCGTGAATTTGCACTTGAAATATATCTTTTTTTAATTTCGTGACATTTTTCTCTATATAGAGAATTTTATATATAGTGCAAAATAATCTATTATCTTGTTGATCATAGGTCATGTACTTTTGCAGCGATGGCGGTGGCTTAGATTTCGAAGAGAGGAAGGTAAAATTTTAGTTTTGAACATAATTTACGTAATAAAACGTTGAATTTAAAATTTAGCTTCTCTCCTATCTTGTGCTATCACTCGTCGAGTAAATCTTTTGTTTTTTCCATTTACTGTAATGTCAGAGAACAAATATATTTTCACAATAGACAATCAATTGCATGTTTATCTAGCATTTTAAAAGAAATTGTATTTATTTCTTTATTAAAAGTATTTGAAAAAGACTCTTTTTTTTTTCTCTGCTGAAAGGAATATATTTATTATGTCGAATAAAATCAATTGTACGCGTTAAACAAATACGTATTTGAATATTATTGAACGCTATTGCGCTATGAAGAAATATTTATACATACACGACACTTTGAATGATACATCTAACTTTACGTAAATAATACCCTAGGAACCTTATTCACGTGACTTGTATTATATTCATACCCCGGACAATTTTTGATGCAAAGTAATCTATCGTCGCATTTTAATAGCAGATTATATAGATTTCGGAACGAGGTGGCTTGAGACGAGAGGGAAAGAGAAAGGAAAGAGGGAGGAAGGTAAGATTAATTACAGACAAAGTAAAGAAATAAAATGTAAAGAATCTAAGATTTACGGATAGGATTTTTCAAACGTTTTAATATTACAAAAGATACAATTCGACTTGACAATACGCCGTAATCGTGATCGATCCAAGAGAGCGTCGTCGACTTTTTCCGTCAATCCGCGAGCGCGCGCGTTGCATTTAATAAGAGCGCAATAAAATTACACTCCCGCGAGGCATAAATTCCATCAGCGAGTCGCAAAGCAGTGCGGACGCGAAACACGCACAGGAGCCGGCCTCGCTCGGCTTACAGGGAAAGGGTAAGAGGTGGTCACTAGCCGGCCCCGTCTCCCCTTTCGTCGCTGATAAGGAAAACGCGCGCGGGAGGATGAGAAGAGGGAGGGGAGGCCGTGGGGTTAACGGTGATGGTAGACGAGTATAGAAACTGCGCGATAATAATCCGCCGCGCCGCGCCGCGCGCGCCGATTTTACTACTCCTTGTACTTTTCCCTAGCATGATTCGCGTTACTCCCACCATCAGCCGCGCTCCAACCGAGGCATCAATTCTCCCCTCCCGAGCCGCCACTAGTCTCGCGGCCGCGGTTGGTATCGGTCGTTTCTCTCTTTTTCTCCTCCCTCTCTCTCTCTCCTCGCTCCCTCGCTCGATCCCTCTCGTCGTCCCTAACCGTTCTCGTTCGTTTTCGCGGCATCTTCGTCTCGCTCGCGTACATTCGAACGAGTCGCCAGCGAGTTCGCGTTGCCTCGACCGTCCGCGGAATCGCGATCGCTCGCTCGCGTTTCCCGTCCTTCTCTTCCCTCTTTTCGCGCCTTTCTCTCTCTCTCTCTCTCTCTCTCTCTCTCTCTCTCTCTCTCTCTCTCTCTCTCTCTCTCTCTCTCTCTCTCTCTCTCTCTCTCTCTCTCTTCCTCCGCGTTTGCTCTACGCGCATAATATACACGAGCCTCGCTCCCGATCATAGAGCAGTGGCGCGGAATACTCTCGTATAGCCAGCAAAAGTCCCCGGACTTAAATTTTCATCTAGTCGCCAATCGGTATGTACATAGACACCGATCGATCCGCTCCCTCGATCTTTCGACACGCGGCGGTGATTCTCGATAGGTGAGGCTGCCGTGATCCTGCGCCCCCTCGCCGAGTAAAGTGTCTCTCCTCTTACGGATAGTGGCCAATTCCAGATCGACGAACGGCTGGTGAAACCGGAACGAGAGAGAAACGGGGACGGAGATAAACGTACACCCGGAAGAAGAGCGCGATGAAGAGGAGGAGGAGCGACGAGGACGGCAAACCGGCAGCCAAATATCGACATCGGGAATATCGTGAGTACCACTTTTATTCTCGCAATTTTGCGCTCTCGCCGAGAGAGGATGGCGGGAGGGGGGGGAGAGGTAGGAAACGATTAAAACTCGCGATCGGTTGCTTCGGGATGCAACGTCGAGAAAAGAGATGCATGTACGCGATTCGCCGTCACTAAAGCGCTCAACTAGGCCGGTGGTCCGCGAGTCACTGGAGGCCAGGGGCCGGTCGTGGGGGATGTATATATGTTGGATATCAGAGTGATAACGCCGCCCCTAGTCTCTCGCGATAACGTTCGCCGGTAAATAACACGCACACGCCGCTGGCTGAATTACGTACAGCCACCGGTTGCTGCATTCGTGTCAACCGCTCGTTGCGTCCGTCGCGAGTGTCCTTTCGGTCTTCGTGATTGCGCGAAGCGCCGGACAATTTCGTTTCGACCCCTCCTCGGGCTTACCGCTCCAAATATTTAAAATAATAGAAGGAAGAAAAAAAAGACGCGTTTTCGATTCCATTATTTATTTTGTCCTACAGTTTAGAGACGGGAGATTTATCAAGAGAATATACACGTGTAATTTTAACGTGTTTGCGACGCGCTCCAACATTATATTATGAATTCAAAATCTATATATTTATACACACGCACGCATACACGCACGCACAAGTCAAATTCCGTTATATCACTTAATCGCGGAATGTCAACAATAAAACTATTGTTGACATTCCGCTAGAGTTTGATATTGTAAACCTTACTCGAGATTTATGTTTGTGAGATATCGCAATTTTGGATTGAGAGAATATGCGCGTTTGAATAATTCGTTTATTTTACATTCACAAAGGACGAAAACGTTAATTGCATGTCATACGTCTGTCTACAATTTTGAAGTAACATCGGTCCAGAACGGTTTCCGAGAAATCCTCATAATTTTTTACATTTATTTTTAAAACTTGTTTGCCGTAACTAATTTTTTATTCTTATTTTTATACTTATTTGTTTGACAATTATATTTTGCTTTTATATTTTGACAATTTTGCATTTCAATTATCCATAAAATATTCATGTTCAATTTAAGAAACAAAAAGAAATTAAGCTTGTTAAGTCTTTGAATGTAAGATATATATATATATATATATATATATATATATATATATATTCTCAAATATTAAAATTATCTAAAATATATATACAGTTTTTTAAGATTCTGTTTTATGCTTATTTTTAAAGCAACTTTGTCCGTCATCTACATGCAATTTACAATTATTACCTTTATTGTAATGCGATATTATTGGCGCGAGATGTAATCTCTTGTCTCTAGATAATTTCAGCATGATACTTGAGTATTTTTTATGACGCAATGATGACAGTTTAATCGACAATCAACTGCGTTTAGTTGCGGTTTAGTTGGTGAATAATTACCGAATGCTATCGATCAAAACCACATGATAATTATTAATAAAGATAATAAACCGCAACTAAACTCGTAGAGATAATAATCGTACGAGATAGCGTGTGATCTTTGATGCTGCTGATTATAAGATACAATAATTAGATTACATGTCCCGCGAAAAAAATACCAAATATTACGTCAAAATATATTTACTTATTATTATTTACTTAACGCGCGCGAGTTATCACATATTGTGATGTTACGCATGCGTTCGTGCAAAATATTTGCGTTTAGGAAAGCGCAGTTGATATTTATCTATTATCGTTTTACTCAGTAGGCGTAGTGTTCGTTTATTTTCATTCATTTCGTTGCTCGTTTCGTTGCTGCATAGATAATTCGATATTTTTTAAAGCAACGGTAAGCGCGCGACATTTCGGAACAACGGTAACAGGATTCTGTTGCATGCGAGTATACAAGTGCATCGCTAGCACCTATATAACGGTCACTTTGGTCGTTCCTTCGAGTAGTTGAATTTTATCGGCTCGATCTCGTCAGGGTCGCGCCATTATTTCTATTTAAACACTTGCTCGCTGCATGCGTCACATGTCTCCTGAGTCATTCAAGCGCGTGTCATTTTGTGACGTTCGAAGGACGAGCCGCCACTTTCGATCCCTTTTTCATTCGCAGGATTCGTTTCGCGTTCGCGAGAAACCGGCATCTCCTTTCGTCCTTTGCCGTCCGTGTCACCGATCCGAAGCAGAAAACGGATAACGGAAAAAAAACAAACAAATAATTACCTAAAATTTTCTTTACAATTGTTTTTGATATACATAAAGTGTGATGTGTGCAAGTAGGAGACATTTCTACAACCTTTTAAGCTTGCAAACATTATAATATAAATCGAGTTGTTTTAATTTTTACGATACATTTTATAGAGCACACGGATTAATCGAGTTATAAGATATTTTTGTGCTTAATTCCTGCTTAAAAGTAAATCCAGTTTGAATATTAACGAATGGAAGATTGTTATGCGTCGGTCGGTATAGTTGTCGTGTCGGGATTCTATGAATCATGTGTGCGTTTATACAAGGCCCGTTTGCTTTTAATACCATAATATACGTATATTGTAAGACAAACTTTGATCTTGAGTTAATAAAACCCTCTTAACATCGACGATACTTTTGTTATTCATCGAGAAAATATTTGACAATATTTCGTCAATTAATAACACGCGTCGATCTTTACGCGTTTATCATCTTTATCAGACATCTTGCCAAAAATTAAAAAAAAATGTATATTAAAAAATAATTTTTATATATACGCACATTAATCTATCGATCGCTGTTAATCTTTGCAAACGTTTATGCCGAGTTTAAAATTTTATATAAAGAGAAGAGAGAAAAAGGAATGGAGCTCTCGAAAAAGATCTTATCGCGTTGAGTCAGGCGATTTCGTTTTACGTTCATTTCGTAACTATCTTTACGTAAATATGTCGAGAGTGCAAAATGTCAAGTCCATCGATGCGAGATTGTTTTTACAGTTTTGGTCAGATGATAAAAGTACACGAAAAAGTAATTCATTCCTCGTAAAATCTAATTCAATTGTTGTTACAAATTCTTTCGAAAATTTATACCGTATAATTATCGCATAAAAGATTAAGAAAATATCTCTCAATTTCGCTCACGATGTATATATATATATATATATATATATATATATATATATATATATACATCGTGAGCGAAATTGAGAGATATTTTCTTAATCTTTTAAATTATATATTTTAAAATATTACATTTCTTTTATATATATATATATATATATATATATATATATATATAAAAGAAATGTAATATTTTAAAATATATAATTTTTGAGAGTCTGAATATTTTCGAGCCAATGGATTTTCTTAGGATTGTTCAGACTTATTGTTAGATCGTCCACTTGGTTCGCTGTATATTATGTTGAAGAATGTAAATATACACGACGATTCTAATGTGACATTTCAAAAAATCATTGGCATAAAATCAAACGACTGTCAAGCAATCAGCCATCCATATTTTACTTTTGCATTTTGAAAAGTCAGCAACATACATAATTTATTACAAATGGAATAATAATCAATTACCGATTTCTCTTTATTAATAAAATATTTGATTGACTGCTAAATCGTATACCATTATTATATTGTATAAGTATTTTTTACATTTATTTATTTAATTTGAGAATTAATTAATTCATCTGAATGATTTTATTTTATCTCGTTTTATACAATTTGTGAATAGCGTTAATTTTACAATAATTATATCGCAATAAGTCGTAAATAAATGACGAATGATCTTGGTAATATCACATATGTTTGTCAGTTTTCAGATTAGAGTTTGCAGATTAATCTTATCGTTTATAATCAGCATAAACTAATTATCTCAATAAAAAAAATCATTGAATCGTGATTCAATCGCGATAAGTTATTAATACAACTATGCGACTTTAATTATACATAAAAAAAAAATTTTTTTTGTTTTCAACATTGAATATATCCCATAAATTTCTCAATTTTTTGCAGTTTACAGGGTTTCTAGTTTATTTTATTTTATTTTTTTTTAATTATATCGTTCATAAATGTTGTCGGTCAATTAAAAGAAAGCGATATATTTCTTCTGTTGTATGAATCATACTTTCGTTATTCAAACAATGCTTGCTCTTCCAAGTGAATTTTGGTGATCGAAAGTTACGATGAAACGACCTGATATTAATCTTCATGTTAAAAATGTAAAGAAAACTTTATATTATTTTTTTGCCTCGAGTAAAAAAATAGAAGATGTATATAAATATTTAATAAAAATATTATATATTGGACACAAAGATTATTTCTTATCGAAACGCTTACTCAAACGCTCTCTCAAATAATCAATAATTTTCAATATATAAGTCAATAATTACACGTGGCTAATCTCACAATATTTAACAATCCAAAATTTAAATAATCCGAATTTGTCCTTGTGAAAAACAAAACGGAATTTTCGAGGAATCAAAGGAATCAATTTTATCGCGTACAAAGCTTTTCCGGTAACGGAAAATTTTTAGGGACGATCGTAATTGTTATCTTTGTCTATCGAGTGCCTCCATCGAAGGCTTGGATTCGTTATACAGTCGGGTACTTGTGCCTGAATCGAGAGTTAAACGACGAGGTCACGGTGGCGCACAAAAGTCATGGTTCATGTAAATCGAAATTACATTAAATCATCATCATCATTATATATCGATGTAGTGGTAGTCGTTGGCGTCATCTTCCATCGCATTTGCTCTATTCGTTGGATACATCGACTCTTATATCACAGAGTGAACTTGAAAAAAGAATTAGAAATAGACGCACTATATTGTATAATTTGTAGTTAAATACGTATATGTTGTTAAATACAAATATTTAAGTTGACGAAAAATTAGCTTCACTCAACAGCAAAGGAAATCGAGTAAGGAAAAGATGAATCGATTCAAGTTATTGTATATATTAAAGTGATAACTTTGCGCACGGGCCACATTAATTGTTTGATAACAGTGCACTCTTCGTATATAGCCATTATTCGAGTACATGTTTACGATTCCCCTCGGGAACCGTTCGTTTTCTTGGTCTT